AACACGCACCTCGGGACCTAACCACGGGCACGATGGCCGTCCGGCGCGTGCACCGTCAACAACAACAGCAAGAACAGCAGCAACGTCGTCACCGTCGTCGTGGTGCCGTACTCGTCGTCGCGCGTGTTCTTCGTACTTACCTGCATACGGAATCGAAGCAAGAGCAGCAGCAGGATCGCGCGCTCGCTAAAGCATCGTGGCCACCATCGTGCGGATACGTGGCGCGCGGACTATGCGCCTGGTGCACGCAATAAACGAAAGAAAAAGAGAGGAAAAACCTACAACACGTATACGTACACGACGACAACGCACGGAAAGTTGCTGGCAGCGCGCGCGCTAAATACGACACACACCACGGGGTCCAGGGACCACTCTACACACGACTCAACCTACATCACACACGTTCCATCGTTACCTCTTCCTTGTCCCCTCGTTTCCACCGGCCGTGTGTATATCGCACCTCCTTCTCTCCTCCCTTGTGTGCGCCGGCCTTCCCACGCGGTCCTCGTATCTTCGCCGAGATTACGTTTCGGTTAATACGCGAGTAAACGCGCGTCGGCCGTTAAACCTTCGGCTCGTTGCCGGCCCGCGTTTGTCGTTCACGGTGATATACATCTCTTTCTCTCTCTCTTTTGCGTGTCTCGTCGATGATCATCGGTGATATTCGTTTCATCGAGATTACTACCGTATCCTCGCGTCTTTGTGTTTTGACTGGTGGTGCGTTTTTAGTCGTGTTCCGATCTCGTCTCACGGCGGCGTTCTTTTTTTTATACTTACGGTGCTACGTTCTCGTTTTGTGCCCCTCACGTCGAAGGGGAAAAAAGGAAAGCAAAAATCAAGCAAAAGAAAAGAAAAGTGTGCGTTCAAATATATAGAAGCCTAACCTCCTCCGTCGACGACGGTGGCGACGGTGGTGGAGGCTAAGGTGACGGTGACGGTGAACCGTTCTCTGTGTGCTCTGTGCTGTCGTCCTTGCGTCATTCGTATCGTATTGTTCGTTGTTGTGCGGCACTAGTGACACAGAGAAGTACCGAAGGGAGGAAGTGTCTGTCGCGTCGGTGGCGTTCTTTCGCCGCGTAGTCTCGTGCGCGCGTGACAGAGGAGCACGCAGTCCGTGATAGAAAGAGAGGCAGCGCAGCGCCGTTCCGACGGATTGTAGCAGCCTTGTTGAGAAGAGAGAAGAATCTGCCTGTCGCTGTGCGTCGTCTTCTCCTCTCTCGGACCACCGTCTTCTCGTCGAGTTTTGTTTCCGCTTGTTGTTCGCTCGTCGCTTAGTGTGCTATTCTGAACGTCGTGTGTTGAACGATTCGCAGCCGGCACGTCGAGGACCGGCTTTCGAAATTCCCGCGTCGGCCGTATCGGCTG